TTGGTTTTTCGTTTTTTCTTACTTGCATAAATCAGTCTCATCAACTTTGATTTCTAACAGTTTAATTGCTCATACTTAAAAAACTTAAGTCTAAATAAGTCTAAATTTTTTAACTTGTTATTGTTGTTAAATTAATCTCTAATAGTCTTTTAATTTAAGGAGACTACAGCGAAGGGGAAGTCAGTTGTCTCCTTGGCTATGGATGTACTTGCCCGAGCAGGTGATCAATTTCGACAGGATCCAGATGCGTTGGTTGATGGAGTTGCTATGCGTGAATTGGTCGAAGGAGCTGTATCTGCTCTTCACCAGTTGGCAAATGATTCATATGTTTCCAATTTGATTTTGCAAGACCACAATTGTGTAGATATGCTTATTAAGGTTTGAAATTTATTTTTGAGAAAAGCTTTTGGTATGATCACTTTTTAGTTCTTTAGCCTTCGTTAAACTTTTATGTTTGTTTCATCAGTTCTTGCTTTGTAGTTTCATTGTCTTGCTTCTCTGTTTTTACTTGGCTGGAGGTGTAAAATGAAAATTTCTGAACACTTTTGAAAAAACCGTTTTTTTTTGGTTATGTATAGAAATCTTAAATAACGGTTTGGGGATGGGTGTCTGCTTTTTAGTAGTGGAAGTTTGAGAAATATTGCTAAAAGAGAAAATATTATTTTTAAGTGTAGATATCCTTTTGAACTCCGGTTTTTAACAGTCGTTGGAGAACTATAAGAGAATGGTGAATCTGTAATTCCGTGAAACCTCATTTGTTCTTTTTTTTACATTTTATGATATTTTGCTTCTTCTCATTGTAGCGACTTTTACTAGAAGCGTGTAAGAAGTGCAGTTGTAGAATTTTTTAAATATATTTTTGGACCAAACAAGGCCTAATTAGGAAAAGGGTAAATTGGTTCAGTTGATTTTAAGTTTTTGACATAAAGTGTTTACGGTTTATCTTAACTGGATTCTTTCTTTTTTAGTTGTTATCTTGGGACGAAGTCTATGCCAACGAGGATGAGCTTTTGTTACGAGAACTACTTGGTCTGCTATATCAGCTGACTAAAACTGCAGAAGGCGCTCGTCAAATTGATGCGTATGATCCGAGGGGGGCCTTGGCGGAAGCCTTACGTTCAAAGCATAAATCAGTCGGTTAGCTAATAAAATATTTAACTGCCATTTTTAATTTTGTACCATTTTTTATTTTGAAGCATCGCTGTGAAGGTTGTGAGAAAAAATGTGAATGGCATTTTATGAATTCAGTTTTTTTGCAGCTATATATGCCTCCGGTGTCATGAAGAATCTCCATCTTGAGAAACCGGTGGTTTATAATGAAATTAATGATGAATGTGGCATTATTGACGGAGAAGAAGAGTGGGTACGGGATGGTTTGGAACCTGAGTTATTTGCAGAGATGTATCAGTCACCTGGCGTTCATCGTTTGGAACAACAAACGCTGTGGCAACCGCCACCGTATCAAGCCAATAACACAAACCAGGGTTGGTTTGACACAGATTTATAGTCAGTTTGCCACGATCATTCTTTATTCTTTTTTTTTTTTTTTTTTTTTTTTTTT